CAGGCTTTATGTTATTCACTTTAGTATTCAGGTGATAAACTTCATTCTTTTCATTTGGTAGACATGTTTTGACATTGAAGACAATGTAAGAGTTGGTTGGGAAGAGAGTTAATTTGGATTCTGATGTGCATTGCATAATGAATTGCATAAACACATGGAATTTTGAATTTGTTGTGACTAGTTTTTGAGGAAAAAATATTGTGAGTCTCTGATTTGCTGCATAATTATGTTCTTGAATGATAAAATATGACACTAAAAGTTAATTTTGTTTATGAGAATCTAGATGTCAAGACACTTGCTGAATTATTTTCGTGTACACAAGCCTTGTGTTAAGATGATAGTTTGACACATGTAACTAGAGAAGTCTCTTGCTAAAGTTTTCATGTGAGAGAATTGGTAAAGATTGAGAGCTACCACATACTAAAAATGGTAATAAGAATTCATTGATTTCTTGAACTGGAACTTTCTTTTGAGAATAACGTTACACGGCCTATGGTGAGATGGTTGATTATACTTGAAAAATGATGACGATCAATATAGGATTGAATTTGAGCCTTTCAGACCTTTTTTTAATGATTATAATCTCCTAGTAACCACTTTGAGCCAGCCAATACATATATATAACCATTTCTTTCCAAGCACCTTTGTTATTCATATCTCCTCACATTGGAAAATAACCTATAAACGTCTTTTTCTACCTTTTATGCTCCAAAGTGTATAGTAGGTATTGAATGTTCATTTGAGAAAAATAGTAATGAGGAAAGGGTTATAGTTGATAAGTGCTCATATGAAGCGATAAAACATAAAAGAGAAGAAAAAGAAGATGGGAAATTGAAAAACAAAAAAAAAAAAGAAAAAAAAAAAGAAATGAAGGATTGATTTTGGGATTAAAAGGTTGAGGAATACATTGATTAAAGGATGTGAACCATTGAAATGCTTGATAAAATGCCCAGCTATGTATTTGGAAGTCCTTGAATTCTTTCTACCCTTATTTTCATATAACCCAACCTAAGCCTTATTACAACCTTTTGCATTGGCTGATCTAATCCCAAGTAGGGTTGTGTTAAGAAGTTGATGAATTCTAAATTGATAGTGTGCCTATCATAAGATCAATGTTTGCTGGTTGCTTGTCCATAAATACTTAAGCCTCCATATTTTGAGTGTATATTTTTTCTCAGCTCCATAGACAGAAACCCTGCACTAAACACGTTGATACTCGTGAGTTATAGGGTTGAACTTTTGGTTCGAGACATGCCTGATGTTGCATGTGTTAAGGTTGGTGGTAAGATGATCATGGCTTAACACTCACTCACACATTTTGTAAGTGTTTTTGATAGCCTGATGATCATGGCACTGTTAACTCCTATAGTGTTGAGTTTGAAAAAAGCATGAAATGTGGTTAAATTTGAACTTAACAATTTAACTTGTGACATAGACCAGTCATTCATTTGTTTTGTTTGGCATTAAATTGTTGCGATAGCGATAAGCAAGTTAGGGGTGTGATAATGACATGAATTGTTAAGTTTTTCATCCATAAATACTTGCATTTTTATGATAAATTGATGTTGAAGTGTACTCAATACCATTATGTTTTGATTTAAGTTGCAAATGGATGAATATGGTGGAAATTAGAATAAACAAGCGAAAAGGACCAAAATGGAAGAAAGTAAAAAGTTTAAGGACTAAATTACAATATCCAAAAGATGAACCAGAAGGTGAGAGCAAAATTTGAAAGAATTGAAGGCTAATTGGAAGAAGACATGAAGTGTTGAAAGATGAAAAAAAGGGAAAAGAAGTCAAGAATCGAGAAAACGAGTTCGAGGACTATGCGGTCGACAAGAGAAACTTCCATGCGGTCTCACCCAAGGTGCTAGAAAATTAAGGCTTAAAAATTTCTTAACCATGCAATCCCAGCACTTAATACCATGCGGCCGCATAGGCTTTTTCCGAACCGCGAAATCCAGTTTCTTAATTTACGTCAAACTCTTATGGAAATACATCTCTTTCATGATTTTAAAACCCTTGGTTGTCCTAGAACAAAATGACACATCTCCACACCTATTTTTCTCTGTTTTCGCTCACAACATCCATGGAGAACTAAAGATTTTGGTGAAGCTATGAAGGAACTCAATTGGTTTTGGTGATTTCAACATCTTTTGATTCATGTAAATTGATTTTTCATTATCAAACAATTCTAGGGTTTAGATTTTCTTCTCACAAATTTTTTAGAAATCGGTTTAACTTTTATTAAGCCCCAGTTTATTTTCCATTCTTCCCCCATTAAAATGAAAAATATAACCGTTATTCGTCACATCAAGCCACCAAATTTGAATTTCTATCTCTTGTGTGGGGCCCATAACGATTATATTTTTCATTCTCTTTTTTTATAAAAATGGGAAACAAACGCCCCCTAAGTTTTTCATGAATTCAGTCATGCTTTCTCCATTAAATAATTGAAATATTTGCTTGAGTTTTTTCAATTTCAATTAATTTTATTGGTGTGATTCAATTATTGCTTTATGCTTGATGTATATTGTCGTTTCTTGAATCTTATTTCTATAAATAAAAGTGGGAATGTGTTTTATGAAGTTTAAACTTTGGAATTATTGTGCCCTTGATCCACATTATTTTGGAAAAAAATGCATTTTTGAGTAGTGTATTGATGAAAAATATGTAGTTAAAAATTAAAGAAAAGTTTTGAATTTGTGTGTAATATTATTTTATTGAAGAATATGTGGTTGATATGATGTCAAATCACTTTTTAAGAATATATTTTTTTCCAAATAATGTGAATCAAATGGGGCCTGTATAATTGATTTGGGTTTCAATGATAAATTTTAAAGTTAGAGAGTTAGGTCTAACGTCTCTAATTGAGTCATAAGAATGAGTTGTTGTTGTTGAATGATTCAAACCAATTGAGAATATTCCAATGCCTCAATAATTTGAACATTGACATTTAAAGTTTATTCCGACAAACAAATTCTTTTCACATAATTCACGAGAACCCTAAGCTGTTAAATCCTGTAAGTAATTCACCCATTTCCTTGAAGAATCGATACTCCAAAGTTGTACTACAACTACCGCATTATTTGTTGGGCGTAATCAAAATCTTGAGGTTGTTATTTCAACATTATTATATACTAGGCTTTGAGGTCTTTTCCCAAGGTAACTTGTACTCGTAGTCTTTTGAACTTGTTAAGTTTGCCTTGTTCCTTTTTTTTTTTTTCTCATCGTCTAGCTATATGTTTCTTCCTAGATAGCACTTCACTTTTATAAATTATGAGTTAATACTCCATCCTCATATTGGTTGGGGAAAAATCTACTACAACCTAGCGAGTAGATGAGAGAAGCAAAGAAGTCAATCTCTTTCAAATATACACGTGAATTCTAGCTATGCAATGTAGCTGGACTCTCATGTCAATCCGAATAAATCATCATTTCCTTAGGCCTACATTTTTTTGAAATATTTTCAATCTTTGTAGTATGCGGCGATGGAATTGTTAGAGCTGATGTTTCTTTTGGAAAAGTAGATAGTTTCTGATATCAGCACTCTAATATTTAAACTAATGATGACCTAGATTTTACCTGACTCAAATAATTATTAGAAAATAAAGGTGAGTTCTAATAATTAAAATTGATGAAGGTGGATGGAAGATGGCACGTATAGAAAGAGAGAGGAAAAGAGAAGACAAAGGTGAGGGCTGTTTTTGAGAGGAGCTCCAAATTCCCCGTGAGGAGTGTTTGGAAGCTTCTCAATATTTACACAAATTAAACATTTTATTTTGACGCGTTCCTTTACTTGTTTAGATAATATATTGTATACAAACAAATATGTGCCAATAATAATTCATATATGTTTCACCATAGCAATCCAAACTATGATCACGAGCTCATCCTATATTCATTCATTCCCTCTCTCTCTCTTTCCTTTTTCTTGCTAATTTAAAATGTTAATTAATGTCCTTTCTACTTACTTTTACCATTTTATCCATAACCTTTTTATTTATTTTTATTATTCTGCTGAATATAGAAGAACACCCTCATTTTATTGGTTTTTTTTTATTTATTTATTACAACGAGTATAGTTATCATATTTTATTAATAACGAAAAAAAAAGACTTAGGTGGGGATTCGGCAACAGCTAAAGTTACAATAAAATTAAACTTGCTATACCCATAGATCGAGAGTACAATGTTCATGCACTTTATTCACGCACATTGTCATCACAAGTTGAGTGGAGTGTCTCTTACAGTGGCTTATACATATTCTATTATATGTTGCAAATAAAAATTGACACTTAAATATCATCATTCAATAGAATTATCATCATTCCTTAGTAACCTTTTCCCTCAATAGCTAAATTCTATTGAAGATAGGAATTAACTTGACATTTTTTATTTTTGTTTTTCTTTCTTTTGGGTCATATACAAGGGAGACTAGAAGCATCTTTCAAGGAATTAATTGCTTAGTCTTATCGCTCTCACTTTGTGGAGAATGGGACTTTTGATACAAAGTAAATTTTGCATAACATTGCAAACAAACAATATAAGAATTTAAGAAATGGAAATCTTTAAAAGCTGAAAGGGTAAAGCTATTTAGCAATTGGAGTAACTAAAAGATTTTTAGTTTTCTAATAAAATTGAATTAATGAAAGTAATCACTTCTATTTAATTCCAATGCAAACATATATGTTTTCATTAACTTCTCTTCCATTTCTAGGTATCTTAATAAACTGGATTAAAGAAAATAATAGTTTTTGTTTTTCATTGTGAGGTTGTTGAAGAATAATAATCAGCAGGTGCACTTCGACATCCCAACTAGATAAGCACCCTTATGAAGTTATCAGTTACTTTTGTAGGTGTCAATGCAATTATTTCTTGCCAGAACAGTGAAGGAGGAAAAAATGAAGTTATAGAAAGGGCAACCTAGTAGTTTCACAAGTAATTATCCTAGTATTCCGAGTAGTGTAATTCGATACTATTTGATAGGATACTGAGGCCCGCGGGTCATGTGGGAAGCAAACAAGAGATGATATTGATTTGAGAGGAGCATCTCCTCTTTAGAAGGCTGTAGCTTCAGAACTTACAGAAAATAATACAAAGAAAAATAGATAGAAGGAAAAAAAGGCAGGGATAGAGAGAGAAATTTAGCTGTAAAAAGAGAGGTGGAATTGGAAATCATGGTTTCTAGAAAGCATAAGAGAGACTCACAGCACGATAAGCTGCAGCTTCTTCGTTCAATCACTCATTCTCACGCAGTAAATACACTGCACTTTTCTGCCATTAGTTGGTTCTCTTCCACCAATTTGAGCGCACACACGTCAACTGTATATAATCGAATTATCATCTTATGAAAAACCTTTTATATATTTGTACTCAATATCTACTCTTAATATTTTCTTCCTTTTTCCAAAATTATATCTTTGTGTTTTCAATATTTCTTGAAAATTGCTTGTTAATTAAGATGTTCTCCTTCTGTCCATTTATTATTTTGAATAATTCTAGATTTTCATTATCCCCAGCATATATCAATTAATCTAGGTAGCTCTTAAAATTTTATATTTTAGACTTCTTTGAGAATTTGAAAAAATTCCAACTCTTAATTTCTTGACTTGGCAGATTAATGAAAGATCAATTGTAGTAGATGCATCAAAGTATATTAAAGAGTTAAAGCTGAAAGTAGAGAGAATGAATAAAGACATAGCAAGCGCAAGCGACCAGAATTCATGGCCTGTAAATTCTCCAAAACTTTCATAGTTTTTCATTTGCTTTTTACTTAGGGCTAGAAGACATAGTAATAAGAATTCAGAGCTTTAATATTTGATATGTTTTACGTGCAGCAAGTTACAGTAGAAACCCTAGAAAAGGGGTTTTCAGTGAATGTTCATTCAGCAAAAAATTGCTCTGGATTGCTTGTTTTCTTATTGGAAGCTTTCGAGAAGCTTGGTCTCGATGTTCTTGAAGCTAGGGTTTCTTGTCAAGATAGATTTCATTTACAGGCATTTGGAGGAGGAGAAGTAAGATTTTTTGGATTCTGTTAAGTTTTCATTTTTCATTTTTAGATGCATGTATACACATCTCAAACCATCTGGAGACAATAATGCACGAGAGATTCTAGTTTCACATGAATTGCACAAGCTGCATATTAAAGGCTAATTTGAAATAAAATAAATATATATTGTCTCTGATAGTTTTAACTTTTAAGTTTTCTCAATGTCAGAAATGATGATTGGCTTTCTAAAATAAAATAGAACACCCTTTACTGACTATTTTGATCAATGTCTTCATTTCCCCCAGAATGAAGAAGACAAAGAAAACTGCATCGATGCCCAAATGGTGGATCAAGCAATTTCCGGTGCCATCAAGAACTGGCATGGAAGTAATGAAAAAGCCTGATCAGTGATATATGCTGTTAGATATATTTATCTTTTTTTCTTAGTATTTCCTTTGAATTTCCTTTTCATTAAGTTTAATCAAAAGGAATCAAAAGGGTTTCTATTATGTTAACAGACCATCATCGAATTGTAATCAAACTCAAAAACATTTTAAGAAGGTAATGATAAATCTATAACCTTGATGTTGTTGTGATGTGAGTCGAACAAATTCCTTTACTGGATGATAATTCCATCTCGTGTTTATATATACTGCAAAGCGTGGCAATTTGTGCTTTATTAAGGCAGCCGAAGTTTGTCGAGTACTAGATATCTGATGCAAAAGTTACCTTAGCTAAATGCTTTTTCTACGTTATAATATAATGATTCTGAAATATGACATAAAGCTAGTGTATATAATCCAAGCAACGAGAAATTATATGAACCTTCATAGGAATTCCATAAAAAATAGGTGTTGTCCTAACACGACGCATCCCGAATCATCCTAGTGGACCCGAAACGTGATGTGTGCCGATAATAGATATTGACTAGACGTCGTCAAATCTACCGTCAAGGCTGACTATGAGTTACGAAAAAAATGCGTCAAAGTCAATTGCTTATGTAAAATATAATGCATTGGGTCCAAAATAATTACTTCATGTTTCGTCAATATGAATCATAACATTTAATATGTCGTGTGGCACTTTGAAATCATTAGACTTCTCTAGCTATAAAGAATCAATTGCTACCTGTAGGAAAAAATTATGGAAAAATATATGAGTTGATAACTCAGTGAGTGGAGAAGTTCAAAAATAATTATACTTTTTCACTTTTATATTTTTATCGAAAATCAAGCTTATATCACTTAATAATTCACTAGATAACACTATATTTATAACCAAAAAGTGAGACATTCACATAACGTCATAAAATATCATCTCAAAATCAAGTTATAAACATCAACTAATAACTATACTATAATCTCACCATATATAATATACTGAAAAATCCACCAAAATGTACCCTTTGACTGAAATATGTAATCCACCCCTCGGACAAAGAACTTTCGCCATGGGCCTTTGTCCTCCTCTGTTAACGAAAGTCGATCTCAAGACCTCTAGTAATCAATTCTAGAGTATAGCCAAAGCCCCTCTGTGAACCATATGTACACGATCAAGACCACTGCTAGGTCAAGACCCCTCCGTTTACGATAAAACACTGCCAAGGCCCCTCTGTGAACTAAAAGAAGTATATAATAATAGGTACTTTTTTGGCCGATCTCAATATTACATGTCTCACTTACCAAACAAATCTTAATATCACATATCTTACATACCAAGTCACAAATGTACTATAAATAATTTTTGAGATTCCACATGTATCATAATAAAAGAGATTTCCATAATAATCATATAATCGAACACATAATTGCACATACTTTGATAATATACAATTTATAAATGCTTTAAAAATATTTATATTTTTCCACTCACAGAACTATGTTCGCAAAATCAACTCGATTGGTAAGGTGTCCTGGTATCCGTATCGTCGCCTGAAATATGATATAATTTTTAAATTAACAATTAACTATTCTAAGTAATCTCAATAATTAAATAGACGATATCCAAAGTTAATCATTTCATGTTTAAACAATTTCTAGAGTCCCTTTAATCACTAAAACTTGTTTTTCTTTTATTTAACTCAATTACATAGCTTATTATACTTAATCCCTTTAATAAAATTGAATTTAATGTAACAATCTAATAACTATAAAATTAAACATAACTTGAAAATAAGTAACTTTTTACTTACCTTTCAAAATTGAGAAATTCAAGCTTAATAGTGTAGACCACTTATTTTCTAACAACTTAGCAAAAATTTTCTAATTTTTCTTTCTTCTTCCTTTTTTTTTTTCCTCTCTTTTTCTCTCTGCTTTCGTTTTTCCCTGTGTGTTGTCTGTTTGTGTGTGTAATTGAATGGATTGGAACTTGTGTGGATTGACATAAATCAATCCACCGCCTCCCTAATTTTTGCTCTTTGTTTTTAATTCTTTTTTCTTTTTTGACATGTCTGACTTTTCTTTTCTTTGTTTCTTTTCTTTTTTTGTCTTATTAAATTAATGTATTACATATCCCAACTTTTGTCTATTGTGAGTAAAAGAATAATTTAAGAATTAAGCTAGTTGTCCACCTAGTACCCTTTAAGGTGTTAAAATCGAGGTCATCGATTTGATGAAGTGTTGCTAAATCAATGGTAAAACTGTGCATCATGTCAAATAGTGTAAACAAAACTATCAACCATGGTTTAAGTTTAGCAAATATTGCTAATTTAATAATGCGTGGCACTCCATGCATATGGCTATGGCACCTTTTAGTTTTAATACAGTTATTAATAGAGAGTATGAGATGATTCTTGACTGGATATTACACCCCTCTCACATGGCCAATGAATATTTTATTGTATGTGGGCCCCCTCTATGTGAAGATGGTGTAATGTTATGTGTACACATAGCATTGTTCTTCTTGACAAGTACAGTATCAATAAGAATTTTCCACATGTCTTTGATATTTGATGGTTCATAAATACTAGTGAAAGTTTAAATAAGTCGAATAGTTTAGACTCAAAATGTGGAATTAAAACAATAAAAAGCAACAAGTCACAATTTATTGTCTTTAGATGATTAAGTTTAATTAATCCAATTAAATCCTAAATCAAACTGGCAATTTAGATCAAAAGCAATAAAATAATTAATAAACACAAAATATGATCATAGAGGAAAATCCATAACTGGATAAAAAAATATCCGGGCAAACTTGTCAGTAAAATTCACTAGAAAAGTTTAATTACAATTAGTCTAGACATTGATAAACTTTAGTAGACTCTGACAACCTAACTTGTAAACCACCAAGGAACTCCTTTGATTGTGCACGCCCACACTTTTCAGAACTCTGAATTACCTCTCTCTAGATGAATCAACAAGAACGAACCATCTTCTTGAGTGTCGAAACTCCAAGCGCCTCTTCCCAAAACTCTAAAGGAAAATTAGCAAAGATAGGATTTTGTCTTGGTGTTTGAAGATCACATATCTATCTTCAGCTCCAGCAAAGCTGTGCACTCGAATCTTCTTTCCTCTAACAAGCATAAATATTAGTTCAACATATCAGGTATCTTGACAACATGGACAAACTTTACCTATTGTTTTCCTCAATTTATTTATGATCTTCTAGCCCAGAAGACCAAATATCTCTCATTCAAACTAAAATCGATTTTCCTTAATAAATTGCATTATGCTTCATTTCCATTATGTTATGCTATCTAGAAGTGAAGTGATTGGTACGGTTTCTATTTGCTAAACTACGAAAAAAATCATTGGATAAATTAAATAGTACCTATGGGATTTGTAACTGGGGCTAAGAGATTGGAAGATGCAACTGAATTTCGTTTGCTGTCTAGTGATGGATCTTGGTTGAACTAGGTTGGGTCCAAGATTTTTGGGGATTTTAGGTCCAGTATTTGTGGGTGTTTTATGTTTCACAAGCTGGTACTTGGAATGTTGATGACAATATTGATGTTCTAGCCCAACTTAAATTTGCTGGCATTTTGATGGAACAACCTTGGAGTTGTTGCTAGGCATGTAAAAATACTATAAATGTGTGTAGACCTATTGAATTGGTTCTAAGAATCTTCAAATACCTTTTCTTTACAGGTCATGTGCTCTACATGTATTTGCACGGCGATGGCTATGACAACTGAGCATGACCCACGGATTGATCCCTTCGACTGATTATGCAAAAGTATTACCTTAGCCTATGGAGTACTTATTGATGCAAAGAGTTTTTTCACATATTATGTTTCCCGTATCTTGTTAATCTCATGTATACAAATGGAATATGGCTTCAAATATCCATGCCTCATATTATGCTTTTTACACGAGACTGGACATGAATAATACAAGAAGATTTTTTTTTCTTAATATTGTTCATTCCTCCACCTAATAAAGTGACTTCATATTTCATGAATTTCTTGTCTCTAGGTTAGATCTTAGTTATGTCCCCTATCTCTATAAATATGAAGTCAGTGGTTGCAGGGAATCAAGTAGATCACAATAAATTGAACTCAGGGGTAAATTAAGCCAAATGGTAAAAGAAGATTCATATTATCGATCTATATTAGATGCAACAAGTGTATTGATCTAGTCCATGTTTGATGGATCACGATCCGTGGATCCACTCATGATCATGTTTGATACGACATGCATAACCAGCATATTTAGTATTTCTCGTTGTGTGTTATATGAATGTGTATAAACGAAACAATATAAAACTTGACATCATGCACACAATTAAATTTGGATTTACGAAATTCCCACACAAAATTCAACCAAATCAACAAACATTCCAAGAACCTTACTTTTTAGGATCATCGTGATTTTACCATGATGATTGCCATTGCTTGTCATAAAATGTAGCCTCCTTAGCTATTTTTTTATATTTTTTAAATCTTGAGTCCTTCTAATAATGATCACTCCTATAATTGTAAAAAAGAGAGCAGCCTTGCATATGAAATTTGCTGTTTGACCAACCACATCAAGCCCTGTCAAAGCATCCACAACATATCTCATGGAAAATCCCACCATTGTAGCTCTACTTGCAACAAATAATACGTACGAAAGCTGAGAAATGCTCATGTTGCCAACTTTAAATTTATCGAGGACAAAAGATTCGTTTGTTGGTCATATATAGGAGTGTGAAATTATAGATAAGAAAAGTTTAACTATTTAGAAGCTCAGCCTCAGGGAGATGAGAATGCTTGATCCATGCCCACCAATGTATGATAGAGCTTCTAAATAGCACCTATTCTCCATGGGTTGCTGCTTCTGGATGCTTTTTAAGAAACTTTATCCTCATCACTTCTACAGGGTTTAAAGGTAAAAAATTGCAGCCTAGTTAGCATTTTATTGGTTTATTTTGAGCAAAGTAACAGTTTATAAACCCTTAATTCTACAGGATATAAGTAACCATTTGATTAGATGATACAAACTCAAGTTCCAGTACTAGACGATTAATCTTAATCATAATCATGACTTATACATTTCAATTGAGGCTTCTCGATTGAGAGATTTAAACTTAAAAAGTGCAAGGTTTGTCCACGGACGGTGAGTCTAAGGGTTAAGATTTCAATGATGATACTCTAGGAGAGTTTTGTAAAAACTTGCCT